TCACAAGATAAGATGAGCGCGTACGAGACATAACGGATGGCTGCATCGATGAAGGTGACGACGTAGTTAAGATGCGATCGTCCTTCCTGTCGCGGTATCACTAAGATGTCGCACTATACTTTCTCGAGCGGTTTGTATGCAGGTGTACTTGGGTTGTGGTGCGATAGGAATGGTTGCCAAGGAAGATCTGCTTCAGGACAAGTCAGGTTAATATAGTGAGGTCAACGAAGCTCCTGCCCACCAATCAGCAGTAAGGCATCTTTGCCTAACACTCCTGCTCGAATCGTGCCGCTAGGATGACCTAGTCTCTTATGCCAAATGTCTTCTGATGCTGTGTGTCCTACAGAATACCGATAAACATCTGAGTTGGCATAGAAGGCATTGAATTTGGCAGGATTGCGATGAGATTCCATCGCTCGTGTAGCGCGTCGAGTAGCGGACATGTCGACAATGAGTGGACCAGTGGAATGAGAAGAACTTGAACGGTTGGATGTTGCATCGGTTCTACTGCTTCTCCGCTTGTGCTCATTTACTTTTCTCCTGCTCTTGAAGTTCCTGGTGTGCCAGCTACTCATGAAATCACCGTGATGTCTTCTCATGGAATCAGTGTGATGTCTTCTCATTAGGTGTTAAGTTCCTTGGGATCACAATCCGTCCAAGATCCAAAGAAAGAACCCACTCACTGTCGGCTTAAGTTCCGTCATGTTCCACGTTGAGCACAAACACCCCAGCTTGATGTGTTGCTTTCGCAACGTAATATCCTCCCCTTGAAGTGTATAACATGATCCCTCTGTTTTCGTTGTAGCATTAGAGGTGCAATCCTCGTCCCATCTGCTGACTGGTGTTGAGTAGGTTGTAATCGAGGCCATGCACGATGAGGACGTGTGAAATCAGAATGACGGTGTTGTGCCTTGACGACGAGTACGTAACGTTTGATTATTAGCAACTATAACTGTAACCGCGTGCTGAAGTCGTTCCTCATGCTTAACAAAAAAACATTGTTGATGTCTGATGTACACATGTGCTGTGCGCAGCAGCTGTCAAGGAACCAGGCATTAGGACATACTCTGCGCTTGCAGCGACATCGGCACACTGTGGATTGACTTGATCTGGTGCAAGGGTCGGAGGTGAGCCTAGTACACAAGAATCGGTTCGTGTCATCCAAGCTTGAACGTTGCGTGTTTTTTACGGTGCTTATAGAGTCTATGCTTTATTTTGTGCAGTAGAAGCAGTGGCAGCATCTACCTATGGTGAAGCTGTGACTGTGCGCTGTGGAGTTGATAAACAAAGCTATGGACAATGATCACGAGAATTTCCATAGGTTCGATAGTGATGGCGGAATGGCGGTACGCGATACTATTGTTGTTGCTGTCTCGACTGCTGTTGTCGCAGCTGCTGCTGCTGCTTATGTTTTACTGCTTGTCAGAAACACGAACTGATTCACCTATTTATTTATTTATTTATTCACCTCTTCAACTTGAAGAGTCGGGCAGAGGTGCATCTCCGATACGTTCCTTTGACTCCGAGGAAGTGAGCGCGTCTGACACCACTTAGGACCGAGTTCGGCCATGACGATTGTCACGAACATCGAGTCAGGGAAGTTTCCTCCACTTCGCATAATCTGGTTGTGCAACTCTTTGCATCTGTTGATATATTGTAAAGCATTTTCTCCAGCCTTCAACTGTACTGTTATCAGCTTGTGCCATGCGTCTGCTTTGCGTAACACTGTCTATCGCTTCATAAAGTCGCTTCAAATGTTGCCCTGCCAGTTCTACAGAATTGCCATATTCTCTTTGTCAAACAATGAACGAGGAATGAATGAACTAGGAAGCAGGTGGGTACAAGTAGGAAACCCTAAATTTGTTGTACCCCATATGGTCTACCCCATTACAGCCTAAATAGACGATGTCATATATGTTTGACACACTCCCATAGGCGAAGTGGGGGAGAACAAGAGGTCACCAGACTAGTCAAGAGAAGCAAAGCAAGGTCAGGGTGGATCACGACGTCACCACGCAATCTGAGCACAAGCAAATGGCCACAAGGCCAATTCACATGCAGAGTTACATAAAGGTGAACAAACAATACAGTGATCACAGCCTAGCAAATGTAAGCATGCAGGTATATGTACAAAAGATCACAGTACAAGCAAAATCAAGAAGTAAGCAAGTGAGGCCTAGTGGGCACAAGGCCTAGAATAGTACAGAAACGCTGATGATCACAAGGCTGAAGTGCCTTGGTGAAGATATCAGCAGTGTTGGCCTGAGAGGCCACATAAACAAGACGAAGCTGACCACGCTGCTGCAACTCTTGAGCAAGGAAGTAGCGCAGAGCGATGTGCTTTGTTCTGTGCTCCTGTCTATGCTCCTGACACAATGCAAGCATGGCCTTGTTGTCGACGTACAGAACTGGAGGAGAACGAGGCGGCTCTCCCAAGTCGGTCAGTAGGTAGGTGAGCCAGCGTAGCTCCTGTGCAGCCATGGCCCCTGCGTAGATCTCAGCCTCACAACTGGAGCGGGTAGACCGCCACGAAATAGAGCCGGAGCCAAGGCTAAAGGTGTAACCCTATGACGACCGCTGCGTAGCCAAGTCGTCAACCCAAGAAGCGTCTGCGTGACCAGTGAGGACAACTCAAGCCCGTCCTCCAAGCACGAGCCCCATGCCCGATGTACTGCACAAGTAGTGTAACACCCTCTTAGCGGCCTTCCAGTGCTCTGGTCGGTGTCTCCTGGGCGCAACATAGCGTGCCAGTATGCTAAGAGGGTAGGCAAGTTCAGGTCGAGTGCAGGTCATCAGGTACATAAGGCAGCCCACAAGCTCTGGATACGGGCCACTCGGCTCTACGGACTCATCCGAAGGAAGAGCTGAGAGTGAGTGGCGAGTAGGCAGAGGGGTGGGCGGTGGCGAGGAGTACGTGAATCCGAAGCGCTGAAGGACCTGCTGCACCATGTGTGACTGAGTCAAGGTAATGGTGCGCAGTGCTCTATCCCTGGTGATCCGCAATCCAAGATAGCTGCGCAGCTCACCCAGGTCTGTGCACGAGGATGTAGAACGGCGGCAGAGAGGTGTCGGTGCGTAGAAACAGCGACGGGTCAGTAGGGGAAGGAGCAAAGCCAAGAGCCGCAAGGGTTGTCCTCAGTGTGTCATGCCACTCACAGGGCACCCGTCGGAGACCGTAGACTGGCCGCCGAAGGCTCCACTGGGTACCAGCAGGAAACGACCCAGTGAAGCCAGGTGGGCGGCACAGCCAGATCTCCTTGTGCAGGCTGCCTTGTAGGAAAGCAGTGCTGAAGTCAAGAGAGTCCAGCTTGTAGTCACGCTGAGCAGCTACGTGCAGCAGAACCCGAAGAGTGGTCATCTTCGATGTGGGGGAGAAGGTCTGGAAGAAGTCAACTCCCTCTCGCTGACTGAAGCCTCGTGCAACGTAACACGCCTTGAAGACAGGCGGAGAACCCGGCGCCCGCTTCACCCTGAAAATCCACATGCCACTGACGATATTCGCCCCAGGCGGGGGAACCTCGTCGACATAGGTGCCTGTCGACTTCCAGGTAGCCATCTCTGTGTCCATGGCTGTCTGCCACTGAGAGGAGTAGGGACCCTCTATCGCCTCTGCGTAAGAGTGCGGGGTCGGGATGTCTGTTGCATCCAGGTCTCCCTCAGGGGCAATTAGGATGGACACAAGATGAGGTAAAGCAGCGGCAAAGCACTCAAACTCCTCCTGCCTGTCCTCAAGGACGTCCGTGCCAAGAGCACACTCACCCCCGACGGACGGAGGACAAACAGACTGAGACTCAGACTCAGCAACAAGGCTAGCGGCGTAGTCTAGATGACAGGCGGCAGCAAAGTCAACAAGCTCAGCAACTAGGGCAGACGCAGCAGTGGACTCAAATGACGGGTCAGTGACAACAGTGGCCAGGGGACGTGTGACAGTAGGACTAGCAGCATGAAGGGAGTCAGACTCCGGGTCAGGATTGTCAGCAAGGGAGGACGCAGGAGGAGACGGCAGATGGAAACATAGTGGAGCAGTAGAAGGACGAAGCGCCATCGGATGCGTGCCCGGGACAGCAGGAGGACGCGGACGCCAAACACGACTACCACTGCGACCAGTGCCAACATGCGACGAAGGACGAGACTCAGGCGACGCAGGACGAGACTCAAGCTCACGACGCTCCGTAAGACCTCCAGTCGGCCCATAGTAAGGGGAAGGACCAGGCAGTGGAGAGGCTGGCTGTAGCTGCGACTGCGACGGGGCAGGCTGTGGACAGACTAAGGGAAGAGCGGGACCAGAAGAAGGCGGGAGGCCAAGAACCTGCTGAAGAAGTGGAACGAAGTACAGCCGCGGCCGCACAGCGCCTCCAGAACCAGTATAGATAGCACCAGCACCCCAGCTCCAGGGTCTCCAACACCAACTCCCGCTTCACCACCAGCTCCAGCACCTCCAGCAGCTCCAGCACTAGCAGCACCTCCAACAGCTCTTGCACCAGCAGCCCCAACTCCAGCAGTACCACCAGCCCCAGCAGCTCGAGTACCCGCAGTACGAGCACCTCCGAAACCAGCGGCTCGAGCACCTCTAGCAGCTCCAGCACCAACAGCACCTCCAGCAGCCCCAGCTCCAGTAGCACCTCCAGCAGCTCTAGCGCCAGCACCACCTCGCTGGAGTCTCCAGCGGTGAGCAAACCACTCGCGCAGCTGCGGTGGAGAGAGAGGTTCCCGCCGAGACGAGGTACCTGCAGGAACTCCAGCAGACTCAGCACCCCCAGTCTCAGCAACCGCAGGCTCAGTACCCTCAGACTCAGCACCCTCAGGCTCAGCACCCCCAGGCTCCGCACCCTCAGGCTCAGCACCCCCAGGCTAAGCAACCCCAGACTCAGCACCCCCAGACTCCATACGCTCAGGCTCAGCACCCCCAGGCTCCGCACGCTCAGGCTTAGCACCACCAGCAGCACCACCCCCAGCAGCAGCACCAGAGTCTTCTGCTACCTCGATAGGCTCGACATCATCTACCTGGGACACACCTGAGGGAGCAGGACCCTGAGGGGGGAGGGGGTCTACCGGAGGGGGGCCTGGTGCAAGGAAGAGCGGCGGGGGGGGGGGGGGGGGAGAGGCAGTGCGGTAGGGGAAGAGACGGTAAAAGGGGACCGACTTGTCGAACGTGACGTCCTGAGAGGGCAGGACACGACGCAAGGTGGGGTGGTAAAACTGCCAACCAGGCGCGTCAGGGACAAAGCCAAGGAAGACACAGGGAATAGCACGGGCAGAAAGCTTGTCCGCGGACGTATCGCGGACAAAGGCACGAGAACCCCCGGACCCGAAACACCGACGCATCGCCAACCTTCCCCGTCCAACGCACTGTGGGCGAGGTCTCCGAAAAGGAGACACGGTGCTAGAGGTTGAGCTGATCCGCAGCGTAACGGACCGCAAACGGCCACAGAAAATGGGGGGCAGCCGCATGGTTCATGGACGTACGAGCGACGTCCATGACTAAGCCAATGCGGCGCTAAGCAATCTCATTCTGCTGCGGTGAGGCCGGGAGCGTGAATGCCCTTCCCACGACAAAAGTCCCGCAGGAAGTCAGAGGCAAACTCACCACCTCTGTCAGAATGCAGACGCAGGACGGGAAAGTCCGTCCCGAACCGCTCGCAGAGCTGGAGACGGGCAGCGCGGATCCAAGGGATCAAAACATCAGGGACCTCACCCTTGGTGCGCAAGGGGAAGACCGTGGTGTAATGCGTGTAGTCGTCAACAACCAGCAAATTGTACCGCTCGCGGTCCTGTCCACAGACGCGGGCTGGGCCCCACACGTCCATGTGTAGGGTCTGCAGGGGAGCAGTCGTCGGGGGAAACGAGGAGGAGTGAGGAGCGGCGCGCTGGCGCCCCTCGACACAAGGAAGGCAGGGAGGAGCAGGCGACGGAGGGAGGGGAGGGAGAACCCTGGGAAGACTAGAGACAAGGACATGGCACTGCATGCTAAGAAGGCGCTGCATCGAGGGGTGACCAAGACGGTGGTGCCAAAGGACGGTCTGGTGTGACAAAGCGCGACACGAGCAGGGGGCTGCTAGCTGACCTGACGCAAACGCAGACGCAGCTAGCTGAGGGGACACAGTAGTTAGTGTGTACAGACTCGAGCCAGCCGCTCAAGTGAACGTGGCCAGGTGCTGAATAGTCCGGGAGCACGTACAGTGGGTCACACGCTGACCTCCAGGGGTGAACTGGTCAACCCACTGGTCCTGGAGGTCAGCTCCACTCACCAAGTTCGTAGAGAACGAGGGGTGGTGGAGGCCTGACAGGGAGCCAGACGGGACAGCCGGACACGGCAGGACCGTGGAGGAGTACAGATACGACTGTGGATGTATCTATGTTCTGATAATGTAGTTACAACCAAAAAAAAAAAAGGGACCTTGGAGGAGTGCGCGAGGACGGGGCCCCCAGAGGGGTCCGCCAGGGAGACTGCAACTGGCCGACTAAGCGGCGTGAGTGTGGTGCTGTCGCGAAAGAAGGAGCGAGAAGCACCTGAGTCAAGTGTGAAGGTGTGCAAGGCCTCAGCAGGCGCAGTACCAGAGAGAGCAGACTCACCAGCATATGGAGCAGCAGGCTCACTAGCACCTAGAGCAGAAGCCTCACCAGCACCTAGAGCAGTAGACCCTACACCTGGGTCGGGCGGCACACACAGGTAACAGTCACCCTCAGCACTAGTAGACACAGCATACATGGCAGCAAGGATAGCATCAAAGTCTAGAGCAAAGATATCAACATTCTGCCTAAGCAGATCAGCCCAGCTAGGGAGCTCAGGAGCGTCAGGAAATTGCGCGCGCCAGGCGTCAGACAGGCGACCAAAACAGCGCTGCGACAGGTGTGGCCCTCCGCACGTCTCCCCACGGCGCCTGCCGGTGCGGAGAACGTAAGTGCAGGGACCAGCACCCTCAGACCTCCCACGCCCAGCGTACCACTCACGAAGCTGCTGAGGCGACAGGGTCTCATGGGAAAGCTGCTGCTTCTGGCGCTGGCGACCGCCGAAGCCTCCACGCTGCGCAGCTCCACCCCGACCAGCACCACCGTCGCCGCCAACTCAAGCTCCGCTGCCACCACCTCCACCACCACTGCGGCTGCCTCCACCACTGCTGCCGCTGCATCCACCACCTCCACCGCCACCACCTACACCTCCACCCCCGCCACCACCCCTGCCTCCACCCCCACCCCCTCCGCCTCCTCCATCGCCACCACCGCCGCCCCCGCCATCCCTTCCACCACCCTTGCCCCCCTTGCCCTTGCCGCTACGGCGCCTGTCACTAGGAGCAGACGCAGCCCCCGACCTGCTCAGTGCCAACGAGGTCGACAGTAGCAGCAGAAGCAACAGAGGGCAGAAGGGTAACGGGGGAACACCCCTCAAAGAAAGGGGCGCGAGGGTCGCCGCGAGAAGCACCTACAGCATCTGTAATCTTCGCAGCTGTAGTGAGGCGCTCCTCCAGCAGGTCAACGGTGAGCTCGGTGGGGCAAAGGGAGAGGAAGTGGTCCCTGACTGAAGAAAGGGAGTCAGGGAGACGGGTGACTAGGAAGAAGAGAGTGATGTACATGGGGGGGGGGGGGGGGGGGGGGTTCTTGGCACAGAAATCGGAGGGAAGGGCAGCCCGGTAGCGGGCGTCACTAGTGCGGAGGTGGGTAATAAGGTCAGCGACCGTAGCAAAGGCGGCCAGGTCAGGGAACAGGTACGGTAGCATGAGGCGGCTGAGAGTACCAGTGGCAGGGGAGGAGTACCGCGCTACAACAGCGTCATACAGAGACTTAGCAGTCTTGTACTGGCCAAAGTGCGCACGCTCAGCAGAAGGCAGGTGACTACGAACAGCAAGGCGATCAACGGCGTCACGAGTAGTCCACTGCGAGCGAACTATACTGTCAGCATCGGCAGCAGGTGCAGGAGAGGCGCCGGACGTGAGATCAAAAAGAGAGATACCGTCCTTACTATCGCATTGAAGAAACAGCTGCAGATCATCGACCCAGACATTGAAGTCAACGGCACGACCCTCAGCATCGAAGGTAAGAACTGTAGGGCTAGCCATAGCGACAGTAGTAGCAGTGGCAGCAGTAGCAGCGGTAGCAGCAGAAGCAGCAGAAACAGCAGTAGCAGCAGGAGTAGCGCGAGCAGGGCAGCGTGGCTCAAAAAAATCGTTCCCACTAGGGAACCTGCTCAGAAACCATGTGAAACAATGGACGAGGAATGAATAAACTAGGAAGCAGGTGGGTACAAGTAGGAAACCCTAAATGTGTTGTACCCCATATGGTCTACCCCACTACAGCCTAAACAGACAATGTCATATATGTTTGACACTCTATAAGACCTGATGCCTTGCTGTTCTGTTGATGACATGTTTCGAAGAAGGCCATCATCAATAGAAAGCTGAAGCCACATTGTTCTTGTGGTATCTCGTTTACTAAGAATTGCGCGTCTCTCGTAGAATACTCCCAAATATGAGCTGCTTCCATTATGAGCTTAAAGTTCCAAGCGAAGAAATCCTTGCCGTCGAAGGGCCTTGAAGTTTGAAACTTCTGAATATTCAGCATCTGAGGCTGATAGCTCGTTGCGTCTCTAACTCCCATTTCTATCTCCATGTAGTTGTTGTAGTTGTTGTTGTTGTTGTTGTTGTTGTTGTTGTTGTTGTTGTTGTTGTTGTTGTTGTTGTTGTTGTTGTTGTTGTTGTTGTTGTTGTTGTTGTTGTTGTTGTTGTTTTTGTTGTTGTGCAGGAACACCAAGTGGTACGAATACAAAGGTGGTCCGCGGCTGCTGTTGAGACGGAACACGGCAAGATGTTGGTTGTTGCTGTTGCGCATACGAGTAGCCCTCAACCCTCATCGCTAATGTTCCCATATTCGCTGATGTTGATGCTTGTGGTGCTGCTGCAAAATAGCATGTCATAACGCTCATGACTTGCTGTTGAATTACAGGATCAATGGCTACTGGATGCGATCTTGATCGAGAACCATCTTCGAGATTTAGCGTGGGGGAGGGGGGGGGGGACCCTCCAATGCCTCCTGTTCCGGTTGAGCCGTTGGAGCAGGGCTGGTGACAGTGACGACATATCGAAACGCGAACTTCCGCTACAGGAACAAGATTTCGCCACGCCCCACCCGCACCTCCTGCTCCACCTGCACCGCCTGCTCCTCGTACACCCCCCGCAACACCACTTGTCTTTCTTGGGTTCCCGAAACTGTACTAGCACCTTGACATTGAGGAATCCTTGTTTCTTGACGATGAGTTAGTGAATCCCGAACATCGGACGAAATCGATTATCCCACCGCGGACTTCCCCATCTCCTTTCCTGACAAGATTGTGTACGACAACTCCTCGCCTTCAGCGCCATGGGGGCCCCTCCGAGAAGAAGTGAACGAGAGAATGAGTGAACTATGAAATGAAGTGAGTACAAATATGAAGCCCTAATTGGGTTGTACCCCCTATGGGATACCCCACTATAGCCTACAGAAAAGAGTAAGCTATAATGTTCTGACACACCCCCATAGGCAAAGTGGGGGAGAACAAGGGGTCACAAGACCAGTCAAGCAAAGCAAAGCATAGCTCAGGGTGGATCACAAAGTCACCACACATTCCGAGCACAAGTTCAAGGGCCACAAGGCCAGTTCACATGCAAGATCATATATAAAGATATACAAGAGTCAAGCAAGTAAGAGCAAGAGTATATATAGGTGAAGGTACAAACAAAGTCAAGAAGTGAGCAGGTGAGGAAAGACAGGTACAAGACCCAGCTGCGTGCAACAACGCTGATGATCACAAGGCGCAAGTGCCTTGGTAAAGACATCAGCAGTGTTGGCCTCAGAGGCCACGTACGCAAGTCGCAACTGTCCACGTTGCTGCAGCTCACGAGCAAGAAAGTAGCGGAGAGCAATGTGCTTTGTCCTGTGCTCCAGTCGCTGCTCTCGACACAAGGCCAGCATGGCCTTGTTGTGTACGTACAGCACTGGAGGAGAACGAGGCGGCTCTCCAAGGTCGGTCAGCAGGTAGGTGAGCCAGCGTAACTCCTGTGCAGCCATAGCCCCAGCGTAGATCTCAGCCTCACAACTGGAGCCGAGAACAGAAGACGAGCGGGTAGCCCGCCACGAAACAGAGCCGGAACCAAGGCTGAAGGTGTAACCCTATGACGACCGCTGCGTAGCCTGGTCGTCAGCCCAAGAAGCGTCCGCGTGCCCAGTGAGGACCACTGGACTGCGCCCTCCAAGCACTAGCCCCATGCCCGACGTACTGCACAAGTAGCGCAACACCCTCTTCGCTGCAGCCATGTGCTCTGGTCGGTGTCTCCCAGGAGCAACATAGCGTGCGAGAATGCTCAGAGGGTATGCAAGGTCAGGTCGTGTGCAGGGTCATCAGGTACATGAGGCAGCCAACAAGCTCTGCATACGGGCCACTCGACTCTACGGACTCATCCGAAGGCAGAGCTGAGAGTGAGTGGAGAGTAGGCAGAGGAGTGGCCTGAGGCGAGGAGTACGTGAAGCCGAAGCGCTGAAGGACCTGCTGCACCATGTGTGACTGAGTCAGGGTAATGGTGCGGCATGCTCGGTCCCGGGTGATCTGCAAGCCAAGGTAACTGCGCAGTTCACCCAGGTCAGTGCACGTGTGTCTCTTTTGCAGCTCGGACTTCACGTAGGCAAGTCCAGCAGTGTCAGCTATGGCAAATACCAAGTCGTCGACGTACACGAGGATGTAGAACAGCGACAGAGAGGTGTCGGTGCGCAGAAACAGCGTCGGGTCGGCAGTAGAAGGAGCAAACCCAAGTGCCGCTCGCGTAGTCCTTAGTGTGTCGTGCCACTTACGTGGCGCTTGGCGGAGACCGTAGACTGGACGCCGGAGACTCCACTGGGTACCAGGAGGGAAAGACCCAGTGAAGCCAGGTGGGCGACGCAGCCAGATCTCCTCGTGCAGGCTACCCTACAAGAAAGCAGTGCTGAAGTCGAGAGAGTGAAGCTCGTAGTCACGGTGAGCAGCAACGTGCAGCAGTACCCGAAGAGTGGTCATCTTCGGGGTGGGGGAGAAGGTCTGAAAGTAGTCAACCCCCTGCCGCTGACTGAAGCCACGAGCCACGTAACGCGCCTTGAAGACAGGGGGAGAACCCGGCGGCCGCTTCACCCTGAAGATCCACATGCCACTGACGATGTTCGCCCCAGGAGGGGGAACAGCGTCAACGTAGGTGCCTGTGGACTTCCAGGAAGCCATCTCTGCATCCATAGCTGCCTGCCACTGAGAGGAGTAGGGACCCTCTATCGCCTCCGCGTAAGAGCGCGGAGTCGGGATGTCTAGTGCATCCGGGTCTCCCTCAGGGGCTAGCAGTACAGACGCGAGATGAGGTGAAGCGGCGGCCAGACAGTGGAACTCCTCCTGTCTGTCCTCAAGGACGTCCGAGCCAAGGGCACACTCACCCCCGACGGACGGAGGACAGGCGGACTCAGACTCAGCGACAAGACTAGCAGCGTAGTCCAGACGACAGCGCGCAGCAAAGTCGACGAGCTCACTGACAAGGGCAGACGCAGCAGACGACTCGAAAGAAGGGTCAGTGACAGCAGTAGCGAGGAGACGTGTGACAGTAGGACTGGCAGCACGAAGAGAGTCCGACGCAGGGTCGGCGAGAGCAGGAAGAGAGGACGCAGGAGGAGACGGCAAAGGGGCACGCAGAGGAGCAGTGGACGGACGCAGAGACATCTGGTGCATGCCAGAGACAGGAGGAGGACGCTGACGCGAACCGCGACCACTCGGGCGCGCAGCACGAACGGGCGACGCAGGACGAGACACAAGCTCACGACGCTCAGTAAGACCTCCAATCGGACCAGTGTAGGGAGAAGGAGCAGGCAACGGGAAGGCAGGTTGTTGCTGTGACTGTGACGAGACAGGCTGTGGACCCTCTAAGGAAGGAGGAGGAGGACCAAGAACCTGCTGCAGGAGCGGAACGAAGTACGGTCGGGGCCGCGTGGCGACGCCGGAAACAGCAGGGACAGCACCAGTACCCCCAAGAGGAGTACCCGCTCCAGCAGCACCGCGAGCAGCACCGCCAGTGGCTCCAGAACCTCCAGTAGTACCACCAGGAGCACTGCCAGCCGGACCGCCAGCGGCAGTCTCAGCGCCAACACCCTCAGCAGCACCAGCTCCAGAAGAACCCTCAGACCCAGCAGCTCCAGCACCTCCGGGACGCTCGGCAGCAGCACCCTCTGCAGCCGAAGAACCTCCAGCACCAGCAGCACGCCTCCAGCGTCGGGCAAACCACTCTCGCAGCTCCTGTGGGGAGAGCGGCTCTCGGCGAGACGAAGCACCGCCGGGCGGAGCACCCCCAGGCTCAGCACCCCCAGGCCCAGCACCCCCAGACACCGCACCCCCAGGCTTAGCACCCCCAGGCTCAGCACCCCCAGGCTCAGCACCCCCAGACCCAGCACCCCCAGGCTCAGCACCCCCAGACACCGCACCCCCAGGCTCAGCACCCCCAGGCTCAGCACCCCCAGGCTCAGCACCCCCAGGCTCAGCACCCCCAGGCTCAGCACCCCCAGGCTCAGCACCCGCAGCAGCACCAGAGTCACCAGTGACCTCGACAGGCTCGACCGCGTCTACCTGGGACACACCTGAAGGGGCAGGACCCTGAGGGGGGAGGGGGTCTACCGGGGGGGGACCTGGTACCAAGAAGAGCGGGGGCGGGGGGAGGGACGGAGTGCGGTAGGGGAAGAGGCGGTAGTAGGGTACCGACTCGTCGAACGTGACATCCTGGGAGGACAAAACACGTCGAGAGGTGGGGTGGTAGAACTGCCACCCAGGGGCGTCAGGGGGGAACCCCAAGAAGACGCAGGGAGCAGCGCAAGGGGACAGCTTGTCCGCAGACAAGTCGCGAACAAACGCCCGAGATCCCCAGACCCGGAACGCCGACGCATCGCCAACCTTCCCCGTCCACAGCAGGGCTGGAGAGGTCTCCGGTCTGGAGACCCTGGGGTGGAGGTTGATCTGGTGCGCCGCGTACCTGACCGCAAACGGCCACAGAAAATGGGGAGCTGCCGCATGCATCATGGACGTACGAGC